AACAACTTTTTATTTTAAACTTTAACATTAATGTTAGTAATTACTCCTTTTAATTGAATATCAAATTACAAAATGCGGTCAAAGACTTCTACAAGAACATTCATTTGATTTGGCACTGAGGAACCTTTTCAAAGAACCAGAGTATTCTCAAAAATGTTTGATAAAAAAAGATATTACAAATCCCATATTGTATGTTTAATGTAAGGGTTATTGTTTTAAAATCATTAACATATTTTAAGGCAGGCCAGGACTTTGTATATCATTTGTATATCATATACAAATCCACCTCATATAATAAAAACATTCCATGAGCTTTACATACAGTACTGAAAACATAAAAAAGAAAACACATTAAGAAGTACTTTGAAGTGGCATAATACAGCCAGATGTGGCAAAAAGGATTGAATCCTTTATTTAAGGTGGTATTCTATGTTTTAAAATATGTAGCTTTGAAGGTCAAAATAAAAACACTATTTGGATCATCAACATATTTTGGTAGTTTTAAAGAATAAATGCAGTGAAATTACAACAAATTTCTAGTTCAATCAGGCTATGTTTCCTTCTCTGAGCTGTAATTACAGAGGTTCCTCTGAGCTCAACAGAATTTGAACTGTACAATTTAGAGTGACTGTGCAAATGAGCTCAGGGCAGAACAAAACATTCAGTATTTCATTATCAAACAGACCAGAGAGTTTCAAGTGGTGCTTCTTCAGCTTAACAAATGTTTACACAGCACAAATATCTCAAACAGTTTATTTCCCATTGTCACGCCTTCCGAGGATGAGGTAGAGGCTAGGGACTTTCTCTCTTTAAAAAAGGGGACCGGGGGGTGTACTCCAATTACAGAGGGATCACACTCCTCAGCCTCACCGGTAAGGTCTTCTCCAGGGTGCTGGAGAGGAGCATCCGGCCGATCCAGGAGGAACAATGCAGTTTTTGTCCCGGTCGCGGCACACTGGACCAGCTCTATACCCTTCATTGGGTGCTCGAGGGTTCGTGGGAGTTCGTCCAACCATGAATATGTGTTTTGTGGAATTGGAGAAGGCTTTCGACCATGTCCCTCGTAGTGCCATGAATGGGTACTCCGGGGATATGGGGCCCGGGTCCTCTGTTAAGGGCTGTCCGCTCTCTCCCCCGGACAAAGGTGGACTCCTTTCTTCAAATTCCCTTCTTCAGTGGTGGATAGTGCTTCTCTCACGGAGAGGAGTTCAAGTATCTTGGAGTCTTGTTTACAAGTGAGGGATAGATGGAGCGTGAGATCGATAGACTGATCGGTGCAGCGTGGGCAGTGATGCGGTGTCTGTATCGGACTGTCATGGTGAACAGGGAGCTGAGTCGGGGGGCAAAGCTCTCGATTTACCGATCGATCTATGTTCCCACCCTCACCCATGGTCAAGAGATCTGGGTAATGACCAAAAGGACAAGATCGCAAGTGGCCGAAATGAGTTTCCTTTGCAGGGTGGCTGGGCACACCCTCTGAGATCGGGTGAGGAGCTCAGTTACCTGGGAGGAGCTTGGAGTAGAGTTGTTGCTCCTCCACATCGAAAGAAGCCAGCTGAGGTGGCTCGGGCATCTGTTTCGGATGCCTCCAGGTCGCCTCTCTCAGGAGGTGTTCCAGATATGTCCCATTGGGAGGAGGCCTCATGGAAGGCCCAGGACACACTGGAGGGACTATGTCTCTGAGCTGGCCTGGTGTCACCTCTGGGTCCCCCCAGAGCAGCTGGAGGAAGTGTGTGTGGATCGGGAAGTCTGGGCATCTCTGCTTAGACTGCTGCCTCTGAGACCCGGTCCCAGATAAAGTGGAAGAAAATGGATGGATGGATTTTGTCTTTCATGTAAGCTCATTTGGATTGCAGAAGGCTTCAGTAAGCTGTCTTACAGGCAGCGTTTAGCAACAGGTGTGGTCAGAGTACTGCGTTAATACTCTATGCTCAACATCCAGAGGTACAAAGTTATAACCTTTTAAAACATTTGTATCCTGTAAAAAAGGTCCTACTATTAGACCTGAGTAAAACTGAGGCCTATGCTGGTTCTAAGCTTCTATTTAAGCAGCCACCAAAAGAATCAGCTTCATTAAGAACTACATCCTCATCATGGCCAGTTGCTGACATTTACAATACTCCTGGTTTTTTTGCCAATTGAATCCCGTCCACTCTGGGTCAGCTTCAGGGCAACACCCCAAGCCACCAATCCATTGAGACCAATAAAATATATGAAAAATTGGGCTTATTTGTGTCTCTCAGTACAAACAAATCATTACAGAGACAGGGATTCCAGCCAGGACTTGTGACTCTCCAGGGCTGATCAGGATCCTGACAACTATCCAGCGCTGCTGTCTGCAACAGTTAGGCAGCAAAAGGAGAAAGGAACTGAGGCATTTCGATCAATATAGGCTCATTATCTGCTGCCTTCTGTCCCAGAGAGATGAGTCCCAGAGCTTGGCCGGCCTGTTGATGAGCAGAGCGCACCACAATTCAATTAGGGTACGGCCGAGATGCCAAAAAGAGGTTTGATCAAAGCACTCTGTTGAGCTAATTAGCTCACGCTGTGGTTTATGAGGGCTATTTTTACATCTGAGTAAAAAAACTGTGCTGTTTGTTAATGGGACTTTTTTTTACTGTGAAGTGCACAGGGAATAACCTGGCTCATTGCAGATTCATAGCTATATGCCAGAAGAGAGCGGGGGTCCCTGGTGCCACTCGACATACATGCCAATACATAGATTCATGCAGACCAAACACATACACAAAGGGGTTTAATATGACTCCCCTTCACAGATTGCACTCGTCAGCATGGAGGTGTGAGTGTGTTTGTTAGCCTGCGTTGCACCAGGACAGGAAATGGGAGGTCATCAAGAATCAGTGGTGAGAGGGAAATGAGACTGCCCTCAGAAGTCTTCGGGGGCTTTTTAAGGAACCAGCTGACATCTTTATAAATCGTGTTAAAACTCGCCAAGGTTCTGATTGACAAGGCAAAATTATCTGATACAGAAAGAAATAATACCAGGTATACGTGCACATTTACAAGAGACAAAGACACAATTTTAACACAATCTCTCTTTTGTTTAATTCTGATATTTGTCACTATACATTTGCAGAGAATCTGAGAGGAAACTAAATTCATACCAGTCTTCCATCTCTAGGCACTGTGTTTATTTGATTTATTTCATAAATGAAAATATGGTGATATAAACTCAGTTATGCTGTTATGATTGTTTTTTGATCAATTTTGTCTTATTTATTTAATTGTTTGCTAATTAAAATATTCTCTAACATGCTGGGGTTAATTTGCAATGTCTTTGTAATGTGGTTATTTAAAATGTAGTTTAGAATTTTGAAGTTTTCTATAAAGATTATGCTTAGGGCAATATTTGCAAAACCTAGATTGAAAAAACAAATAGACTGCATAGTAGAGCTGTTGTATTGGACCCCTTTGAGGTCATGAGAGAAATGTGGCCTATGATCTTATATTCACTGCAAAGAAAGAAGGGTTTATATTAAACCAGTGCATATCTGTGTCTTTGATATTAACCCATCAAAATATTCTAGATAATTAAAAGTTAGCTTCATTTTACAATAACTTACCCAGTCCCAGTATAAGATTACATTTTTTTGACAGATTCAACATTTTCTAATGGCTTTGATTACTTTAGAGCAGGGTTTAGTTTATTTTAAGGTTATAGTGGATGATAAGCATTTGTTATTAGCAATGCCGGACAGATCTTCATTAATTTCTGCTTACTTATTGGTCTTTTTTAAGTATATAATTAAAGGTACTGAATCAATACTGAATCTATAAAAAACAACATTTATTTCAGTGAAGTTGCTGGGGTTTTTTTTTTCCAGAATGAGACAGGAGATTCCAAAGGGTTGGAAAAAGTATGATATCAGCAAATATCGGCTTTCAGCCATAAAGGCAAAAACAATAGGGGATATCGATATCAGCACAGATTTAGCAAGTAATAAATTGTTTAAAAATCACATCTTGTGATTTCTGGATTCTTTATTTTAATTATGTCTCTCACAGTGGACATGCACTGTTTTCAATTTCAGACTCCTCCATGATTTCAGAATATATATATATATATATATATATATATATATATATATATATATATATATATATATATATATATATATATATATATATATATATATATATATATATTTGCTTCTAGTGCATAATATATATTTGCTTCTAGTGCATAATATGCATCGGGAGGCAATACATTATCCAGAAACCTCATTTGATGGCAAAACATCTAGAAGTACTTCCTTGTGGCATTGCTCTTCCTTATCATGTAGTTTGTGTCTGATCTATTTAATGCATGACACAATACATCAAACTTTCCTTTATGTCCCTGACAGCAACAACAGGAACATCCTCATCTTTTATTTTTTTGATAGTGCATCTTACTTGATCATGTGAGCAAGCTCAAATTTAATACCATCATAAATTACATTGTCACGCTCTGTCAAGTAAACTCTACCCAGGGATGGAGGAAAAGGCAAGCCTCAGGAGCACCATTTGAGGCTGCACTGTTGCAATCCTTTAAATATCACTTTCAGTGGTTTCCTGGACTTACTTACTTCTCACGTGCTCCAGTATGCGACGGTTCCTGGTTAACAAAACATCAAATCTCTAAGTTCACACAATAAATCTTAACTTATTTACAAAGAAGGACAGCAGCAATATGGGATGGGTGAGGTGCACAGTAGTGAAACTTGAATGTGTGTGGTGATGGGCTCCTGTGGTGCTCTCCATCTGAACAAAGTGTGGGATCCTAATCACATTAGTCAGATGGGAGTTAATGACCGGGAACAGTTCACTTCTTCATAGCAGCATGTTTTCTTTTCATTTGGAAGAAACTTTTAACAACAATTTCACTTTTTTTCCCCCTCTAAAATAAAAAAAAATCCAGAATTTCACATTCTGCGCTCACATTCAATAAATCACCCTATTATATTATTTAAAAAGTAATAAACAAGGCAAAAACTCACCAGCTGTAGGGTGCAAATGAAAATGAGAGTGCATCGTCCGCTGCAGCAGCCCATTGTGTCAGCGGGGGGAAACGCGGTGACTCTATGAAGGACTTGGAATGGAGCTGTTGGAATCAGGCTTGATCCAAACACCAGCTTCTTCCCATCCTCCTCCTGCGTCCTTATAAATGATCCCTGGGAAAAAGCGACCGGTTACACCCGGCCTGGGACGCGTGTGTTTACCTCCGCTCTGGCAGACCCGGTCGCACTGGAGGTGAGTGGCTGGGAGGCTGGGTGGGAGCGAGCCGGTGTGCGTAAAGAGGAGGAGGGGCAGGGAGGAGAGAGGGGGGTGGTCTCAGGAGGGTTAGTGGGACAGACAACCTAAAAGCTGCTGAGCCTGATGATGGAGTCATTGGGCAACGATTATCAAGAAATAATCCAAGTAATTAATTATGATAATAATTAGCCTCAGTATTAGTAAGCATAATAGTTAAATTATATAATAATACTCCTACTACAACTTATACAGTTTTGTAACATTGTGATTATCATATCCCTTCTTTATGAAACAAACACAATAAAAGCGGTGATTAAAACTGCAGTTTATTTATGCTGAGGTTTAACATTTGTATTCCTATAAAAGCTATTCAATTGTGACTTTTGATCATCGCGTGAGAAAAGACAGGACCTAATCCCTTATAACAATCATGAAGAAATGGCGCCATCTGCTGGGGACTGAGGGAGATTTAGGGTCCCAGCTCTTAGGCTCCTGCTGACTTTGGGGTCCCAAAGGAAGAGCTGTGTAGGTAGAGTTTTAAATAGGATATTTAAAAATCAATAATTTCAAGATTTTTAAATTTGTGAGTGGTTAGTTTCTGGGGAGGGAAACATTTCGTTTCAGTGAACATAATAAATCAATAAATCTGCAAATGACAGCCCCTTTCCCATGGCTGCATGTGAAAATGACATTAAACCCTGACCTTTACTTTCCAAACCTATGACTCTTTCCTTTGTATGTATCGGTTAAAAAAACAAAACAAAAAAAAACTGTTTTTTTTACAAAACAGCACGGTAATGCAAATTGCGCTCTCTCTCCAAAATAGACATATGCAGTGAATATTTGGCTGTGACACCATCCTGGAGAGAAACATCAGCTGTGCTGCTGCCATCAAAACCTTTGTTTATAGATGTTGAAGATCGGCCTGTTTTTCAGTGTAATCCTGTTTCTCTGAATGTGATTGACTGGATGCGCTCTCTTCATCCTCTGACATGGGAGCTGGCTCAGAGCTTGTCTGTCAGGCTGTGTGTTTCCTGGACGGGGACACCTTTTACAGCTGCTTTTTGTATTTCTGCTTCTTTCTCCTTTAACTCACACTGAGCCTGGTTCTGCTGGAGGTTCCTTCCTTTTAAAAGGGAGTTTTTACTCTCCACTGTCGCTACAAGCATGCTTAGTGTGAGGGATTCCATTCGAATCAATGAGTCGATGCAATCAACTTGTTTTCCTTAGACAGAAAACATAGAATCAATTTGATTGTTTGATCTGGTGAACTGTAAAGTGCCTTGAGATGACATGTGTTGTGAATTGGCATTTTATAAATAAACTGAATTGAATTAAATTTAAAATTAGTTATTCAGCCCATGTTTAAATTCACAGTTCTAAACTACAAAACACGATGGTTTAATGTGTTATTCAAAGCTGATTAACTACAGAAATAACTACAGAAATTGTAAAAAAAAAAAAAAAAAAAAGGTAACTGGGTCCCCCGAAGAAGTATTCTTGACCTCATAATACCTCCAGTTAGCTATGCCTGAAACAAATTTTTCCCTATAGGTATTTCAAAGTTTCAACTTTTCCCCATTAGATGTCACTCTATTAAAAGTAGTTGTTTCACATTCAAGCCACTGAATGTCATAAATAAATATGTATTTAAGCCAAAGCTTCCTTTCCTGCTAACATCATCCTACTTGCAGAGGGGTGGCTCCCACTTTTTTCCCGTACAAGCCTCATAAATGTTTTAGTTTTTTGAGGCCTGACCAGGGGGAACACTTCACGTCTGATTTCATCACACACTCCTCCATCCGGTTCCTCTCTTAAGCTCCACTACTCTGGCGTCCTTCAGCTGCTCCATCCTTCCCACCCCTGTCTGTCCTGGCCCAGAAAGAGCCTCCCCCACTGGTCTCAATAAAAGTAGTAGTATGGAGCCAATAGCAGATAGACACTTAATGTTTAAGATATATATATATATATATATATATATATATATATATATATATATATATATATATATATATATATATATATATATATATATATATATATATATATATATATAATATATATAATTTTGAGAAATACATAGTTGTTATCTTGTCCTAATGCCACTTAACATAAGGTAACCCTACTTGTTTTCAAACTAAAATTTATGACGTTTTAATGTTGGGTTTGATGCCATTCCTACATGCTATTTCTAGCGCTCATTGTTTGCCATCACCCATGTCCGTTTTTACAGAGTGTCCTTAAATCTTTTTCAACTGGAAAACCTTGTTGGAAATGTTTTTGATGAATCAAAGATCAACATGCATAAATAACTTTGGCTTTTGGTGCTGTCAAGCTCTGCCTGATATTTTATTTATGTGTTGTTGTCTTCATTTACCTATCATATATATCCCCATTGTGGGACAATAAAGAGATTTTCTATTCTATTCTAATTGATATCAACATTCCCTCTGATTATCAGTAAATACAGCAGTGACTAAGATGGCAATGGCCTTCAGAAGAGAAACAGACCCACAGCATCACAGATCGTCTACCATACTTTCCAGAGGGCATAATTGCATTACCTTTGTAATATGATGTTTTCCTCACAGCTTATTCATATAGAGTGCTTTAAAAAAGGGCTGTCCCTCATTTGACTAAAAAAGAAAGTTCTGCTAAGACCCACAGTAGAGACAGCAAATATTACATGTTTACATTTGTGATCTTATTATAGAAACTACCAGTTGGCAAATAGAACATTGTGTTCCTGTGGAGACCATGTCACCAAAATATGTAATTTTTAACTTTGTTTCTCCAACAATTACCTGTGAAGATTTGGCTTTACCTTCCTTGTTATTTGCAGGAACATTTTCTTTGTCACTACATTTTTTACATTAAGCTGGGGATGGTGGCTAAAGGAATTGGGCTCATCACTTTCAAGAGTCTGGGGCTTCTAATTAGAATTTAATTGACCTCATCTCACAAAAAAAAATGATGTTCCTCTGTTAACCTTATTTAAATTAATTTTAAAGAAATTGCACCTCTAACAATTTGACAAAATAAGCAAAAAAAAAAAAAAAAAACAGATACTTTTTCCTGACATGCATTTTATTTCTTTACAGAATAAATTTAGTCAAACAAAAGGTAAGTCTTTATTTGATTTTTTTTTTTTACATCTTTACCAGATTTAGAGTTCTGTGCTATCCCTGTGTTTAGAATATTATTAACTGTATTCATTCATTTTAGTAATTAAGCAGGTTGATATCCTTTGAATAGACATTTTCAGTCTAATGGGTTTAAACAAGGCGACTTAGAAGCTCTAAGATTTTATAGGGCTTCTTTTAAAAAGTCAGAGCAGGAAGTAAGGTTACCAGCAGAATACATCTCAAACTGTTCCTTGCATGAATGATGTTCACTACCACACAGCTGCATTTCTTATGAGAACATGTCAGTGTGTACCAGAAGACAAAGCATGTGTGTGTGTATTGGATGATAGCTGAAATAAGGTCACTGTTATAGTTCTGACTGTTTGAAAGCTTGATGGAGGTTCTACTGTGTGTTCCCATTTTGCCCAACACCTCCTTTTCTCCCAACCCTTTGTTCATGTGAATGTGTGCGTGTGTGTGCGTGTCTCGACCACTTCTTTCATGACAAGTGCGGCCCTCCGGGGCCGCTGTTCTCAACAAAGAAGCTAATATGAAGTGACAGGACAGCCAGTGGCGTTCTGCTCGGAGGGGACTTGCTTTGTGGAGCAGACCTGAGAGTCTGTCTCACAGTGGACAAGAATAAAAAAAAGACCTTCGAAGGGCAGGGTTTTTTTCTACTCTTTGAAAGCATCTTAGGCTGTCGTTTCTTGTTTCCACCCTGGCTGTCTGGCTCTTTCTTTCTCTCTCTCTCGTTTTTTTTTTAACACATTCAGGAGATTAAGCAGACCAGTCATGATTCTTCATTCAGACACACTCAAGTCAAGTCTGTTTGCTGATAAGAGGCAGACATTTTAGAGTGGGACTGATAATATGCTCTCTTTTACGTGGGAGTTTAATAACATCCATATTTTAAAATGATTGTGGTGTTCTAGAATTGAACTTTAAATGAAATATTTCTATAATCCAGGCTGGAATACTCTAGTCTAATGACTGCCAGCTTTGGGTGACAGAAGCAGGTTTTTATTGGCTGATGTCTGCTCTGTAACTTTATCAGAACAAAAGAAAGCTGCTCTCTTTAGTTTTTTTAGACATCACTATTAACACAAACTAGCTGACTTGACTCGGATTCATTGCTTTTACGGATTGGTGAACAAGCACTCAGCTGCTTTCTTTATTTAGGCCCATTTTATAAAACTTTAATGTTAAACACGTGCCATTGGATATTAAAGGGAGGCAGATTCTCTTCTAATTTTCCTCTTTTTGTTTTAATAAAATCCAAAGCTTGATGAAGAACAAATACAAATGATGATATAGGAAGGAGGTCAATAATTTATGGCAGGATAATTCTTCAGTGAGGAGAATCCTTTCAACATCTGGTGTTATTCCAATGTTTGCCACTTAGGGGCGCTTTTTGGGGTCGTCCTAAAAGTGTGGTGCGTCAATAAAAATTCTCAGATGGAGAAAAAAGGATATTGAAGGCTCTATTTCAAAATAAAAGAAGTATCAGGCGCTCTGGTTTTTCTTTTGTTCATTTACATAGATAAATAAAACAAATCAAAATAGTGGAAATATATAAAACATTATTTTTAGATAATCTATTCAATTTGCATTTTGTTCACAGTGAAAACGTTTAAAGGTTTAAACCAATATTTTGGTTCTCTTAAGCTCATTTAAGCATAATTTAATTTCTTTTGTATAGGGAGTTATTAAAAGCTTAAACTAATTTAGAC